CAGCGGGGTTGATCTGGGGAGCGCAAATCGGCATAGAATCCACTTAAGCTATGGCTGTAGTTGAAATCACAATGTTTTAACGTTTTGTTTTCTGCCTTCTATAATTATTGAAGGCAGAAAACAAAACGTTAAAACACAGTGTGAATAGACAATTGGATTAAATTAAAATAAATTGATTAAACACACGTTGATTATCTTACCACCTAGATTAAGTGACGGTCCGTTTCAAAACTATTGTTTTGCTATTCGCTACGTGGTAGCTAATGTTACGCCGACTGCTGCAGGGTGGATTATTCGTTGAAGAACAAATTATTATCAACAGATAACCATAGCGACAACAACCGCCCCTGTATAAAAGAATGCTGAGGGTGAGGTTGCCTCATTCGTGTGGCGTTCCACTGAAAAAGGTCTGTCTCGGTAGGGCTATGAAGACGCCACACTGAGAAGAGGAACAACTGTGGACCACCGACTCGGATCATCGGCAATGAGGAAGGTGAAAACGTCGAAACGTTGTTAGTCGAATAAAATTAAGTCATCAACCCTATGTAGGATGAACAAACTAAATACACGACGATACTTTCCAATTCAAAACTTGAGAATTAAAATCCTATTTATTAATGGTCCCAGTCGACAAAGGAGCATCGGATCGGCACATCTGTGAGGAATTACGACTTGTATTCTTACGATAATAGACATGCAATTGCAATTTGTCTTAGGCAACTAAACAAACTGCAACTAGTTTTTCAGATGTTTTTGAAAAATGATCATTGTCTTTAGTTTGCGATTTGTAATGAGAACATTGTTTCTTATCACTGAAATAGTTGCACATGTGATTGTTGATAGCACTGTTAAAGAGTAAAAAATTTGCTATGAAAAGGGCAGAGAAAGGGATTCGGATGGTGTGGTGGATAGCATGTGAATCCCTGGTTAGAGGTACCCGTGGGTTCGAAATCCAACTGAGGTCCTGAGTTTTGGTTATATCTCAGCATCCTCGTGGTTATTTATAAATCGTGGAGATTCTCCACAAAGATTGTTTCTACTGCATACTTCTCTAACGACGGTTGTTTCCAGTGAAGTCACATGAAAGAAAAACCGCTGCAGTTCGATTAAAGCCGCATTTCGTCTTGCGGTTGCTCACAATGGCCAATTGTAATCCATTACCAATTCAAACTCAAATTTGTAAATAAACACAATTTTTTTACTGCCTACTCTTTCTAACGGCAGGGTAGATATTGCAAAATATAACCTCTATGATACTGAGATATTTGCAAAACTCCGGAGCGCAGGTGTCTGTGGTGGGGAACGAACGCGCTATCGTCCTTTCCGGGGAATAACGCGTTCACCACTACACCATCTGGGTCCTTCTACGGCCTCAGCTTAGCTGGGTTCATTGTCGATTTGGGCTCCCCAGATCAATCCCGCTAACGGGTGATTGCTGATGGCAACAGATCGATAGAACTAGCTGAGAGCCAGGCGAAACGAAGGACCCGCATAGTGTGGTGGTGAACGAGTTACTCCGCCGATAGAACAATAGCGCGTTCGTTCCCCACCATAGACACACGGGGTCCAGAGTTTCGCAAATATCTCAGCAACGTTGTGGTTGTATTTCGCTTAGTACCCTGCCGCGAAATTATAGTAGACAGAAAATAAAAAGGTATTACATTATCTCAGCATCAAGTTCTGTAGATAAAGTTATGAATGGGCTCTAAAATCTCTCAAACTCCATCCCATCACTTTAGAGACTTCTGCTGTCGTCAGATAAAACTTCATAACATAACATAACAAACTCACGATAACAAAACTTCTATCTCATTTTGATTTGTGTTTGCTCTTCATTGTCTTAGAAAATATATTGTATAGATGTCGTTTTGTTCTCGTTGCACTATTATCGATTCTTATGTGCAGAGAGTTCTTAGGTCCTTGATTCCTAGAGCGTCCAGAAAGAGTAATCACTGGTTCGAACCAGTTAATGAAGAACCTATGGTGCGAAGGCGAACAAATCAAACTGTAAGGTTCTCCGATTACAGAGAGCAGCTCGTATGTGTGCCTTGAACGTTCAGTGAATATCTAAAAAATGCAAGCGTGCTCTCGGAAGAGCATCCAAACGATGTGCGGACGTGTTCGTGGCCGACGTCAACTACCTGCATTTGCAGACGAACAGATGAAAACATTTTAGGAATTCGGAACCGGCCGCGAACGTCACCACGTCCAAAACAGACCATCATCATGAACGATTGCTCGAGAAACGAATGGAGATTATGCTGGAGCTTGCATAACCAGTGAGGACGGTCATGGAAGTATGCAAGTAGGTAGAGTGTTTATATTAATAGGTGTTGTATTAAATTATGCTAGTTAAATATGTCAAAAAACACTTTTAGAAGTTTTTCAAAGAGAAAATCTACCGCTTCTCATATTGGGTAGAAAAACTGTACCTTTTCCAAATCGTTTTAGTACTTCTGTTGGCTGCATGAATTCTGGTGCGGTGCAGCTTATCTTTTGTAGAGCGTACGGGGACCAATACGTTGACGAAACGGGTAGACCACTCTGCATCGGTTTAAAACAACACCTAGTCAGATTTAAGGTCTTGAAGTAGAAGTTACCATCCTCGCACAGGAATTTGGAAGTACGGCGCGCAAAACTCCGGATAAATTCCAAGGATCCAAAAATCAACTGAAGAAAGCAGCCCTTTTGATTTCGCGTTTTAGCGCTATACCCTAAAGCTGATTTTTTTGTTTGAAGTCAGAGTCATTCCTCACCTGTTCCTGTAAAAACTTTGCATCAAGTTTTATGTGGTGAGGTTACGGAAGTGTTTGGCTGAGTGGATTGCAATATGAACTTGACCTTTCCAGTCTCTGAGGAGACGAAACCACCGAAACAACGGCTATTAGGAATGAGTAAGTACTGTAATAATAACTTTGTGTTTGCTCATTAAGAAAACTTAATTATTTGATCAATGCCGAGGTTTAACGAAAGGCGGTCCCGGGATTTGCTGAAGGGGTCTATTATACTCGCACAAGGTGAAACATCAGATATCTATAGTCGACAGCACTTTTATATGAAACTACGATCAATATTTCAAATTAAAACTCACAGTAAACCGTACACAGTACCATAGGAATTAACACTCGCAAATATGAATTTCGCCGTTGAAATAAAAATTTTGCGGCAAAGAATATTTCAAACATATGGAAAGATGGTGGTTAACATAATGGGCATTAGTGAGCAATTTGACAGAGTATGTAAAAACGAATGGTCACTTCAGTTCAACGAAATGGGGACAAGGGAGCAATGCGGCAAGAAATGAAGCGAGGGAAAACGACAGACATTATCTATGAATGAAATTATGAACAGAATTTATAGGGGAGAATTCGAAGTGATCAATTAGTTAATATTGGGAGCATACCGCTTTCAAATTTACAGTAATAGTAATGTTGCGTGTTTAAGTCTGTGTGGATAAAACACGATTAAAAAATTACCAAAGCATCCATTTAACCCTAAAATTTTTCTCCAGAGATTCTTCGGAAACCTGCTACGTTTGGTGAGTACTGCTCCATAATTCCCGTAGAAAGTTTGCGTTTCATCGTTTTTTCTTTTCAGCAGAAAAACTAGTGGACAATTGTCTTTGAACTAATTTAATAATATGTGTTCACTTATGCTTAGGGCTTGAAAGAAATGTAGGGAAGACAATAGCTACTAATACTTATCATTATGCCATTCAAATTATGCAGGTGGCAGTAGAGTAAGTGGATGAACACGACGCTGGCGTTAAGCGACGAGTTACACCTGCTGCCTCAGCTGATTAACTAACTAACAGACGACATTTACATGTGTACCGAAGCACTATAGCGAACGTGACTACTTGGCACCTTCCAGCGTGACGGGCGATACTGAAAATAAAACCGTAAAAAGAGCCTACATATTAAGAAATGTAAGTAAATCAAGCTTATAGCAATTGTAGTACGTCAGCCGTTCCATTAACACAAAAAAATAAGGAAGCTCTGACACAACAGTTATCAGAGACATGTTTTCATAATTGTAATGATCTGACTGGTGGTGACGACCTGGGACAGACTTTAGATGGGCTGATCTCGGGACTCCAGGGATCCACAATGGCTAAAAAAGCAAAACTCCGAAACAATAAAAATTATGCCGGGACACTGTACAACCCGTTAAGACGGGTCATCCAAGTAAGTATCCAAGTAGTGATCTGATTAGTACGATATGGAGATGTTAAATCTAAAGATGGTAGGATAGAGAACGATATGCTTAAACGCCCGTACCCAATATTCGTAATTCCTTGCAATTAAGAAGTAACTCAAGTAAGAAAATATTTAAAAGTTTGTAGAAAAACATTTAAATGCATAAAGCTATAGAACCATGATTAGCATATGAAGGACTATTCCCCCTGATTTTTTCTTAACAATCACGAATAACTTTTAGGAAGATAGGTAACTGAGTAGTTGGGAATTTGAGGGGTTTCTGGAATAGGCCTTGTTCCATCGCAGTAAGCATACAAGTGATATTTTTTAAGGGCGTCACTCCGATTTAAAATTTGTTTAAAACTGAAATTTTTGAAAAAGAAAGGAATTTTAATCATTACAACACCTTCGAAAACTATAGAAGACTCACAAAATAGGAGTTCACAAAAGGTGAAACACCGAAACAAAGAGCTGTTCTCGATATAGCTATTAAACAAGCAATCTAAAGTTATTAACTCATAAGCCAGTTACCTTTTCGATAACGAGATAATTCCTTGAGAACTGGAGTATGAGATCATGATAAACATTTAGATAAGATTCTTTTCTATTACACCAAAGAAATATAGAACCCCCGCAAAGTGTCATTTCGACTTGAAATGTGTAAATTTACATTTACAAGGTTGACAACTAAACTTGAATTATTGAAGCTTTTATCAAAACCACAACAGTCACGAACAGGTGGTGGGGAGGGGATGCTATGGATGCATGGTCATATTCTGTTGTGCTTACTCAATCATTTCGCTACCCGAGACAGAATCTTTGACAAAAAAGTGAGAACCAAGCTATTATTGGGAACAAGAGACAAATATTATTCATATAGTCCTGAGTGTGTTGAATAAAAACAAAAGCGACTAGCACTATAAATTTGACGAAATTACTCGGAAATAAACTAACCTTTATAAGTAGTTGACCGCTTGTGGTATGCGGATTGTAATATGCATATGCAAGCCATCCAATCAGGCAAAGTGACGAACCAAGTGTGAAGACAAGAGCTGCATAGCCTCCTCCATCAGTTTTCCCTATAAGTGATCAGCCCTATTAGTCCTATTAATGTTACACTTAAATTCCAATTGTAACTTAAAAACGAAGAAAAAGGGGACTGTATGTCAGTAAGAACGTGGACCAATAGCAAAGGTGAACAGTGATTTATCACAATTCTCTCCCGAATATACCATTAAAATTTCCTTAGTTGCAAACATCTTCGTTATAGTGACATCCATTTCCCTTCCTTTTCCGTTTAAACTGAATCCTTCTTAAACAAGAGTTGAGCTTACTCAAGGAAATGAAGCCATAATAAGTAACTAGGAATTGGCTGGTCGACTCTTTTGATAGGTATCATCTCATATGCGTGTTTCAGTAGTCAAGGTGAAAGATCTTTCTCTACGTTAACCAAAACAATACTCGCCCCCAATAACTCAACCGAACTGGGAAATTCTCACAATATCCTCAACTCTGGCGCAACTACTAACAACTTTCCAAAAGAAGAAAAGGAAAATAAAAATGTCAACTGAAAGCATTGCTTAAATTAAATTAATATATTGAATTTATCACGTCCTATAGGGGGAAAATTCGGTTGCTGAAATGCTTTCCTTCCCGAATACCAGTCTCGAACAGAAAAAAGACAAACAAGAAAGGACAAGAAAAAAAAACAGAAAACGACGATTTGTAAGCTCAAGAAAAGCAGAAATTCAGCGCGTAGATCAAGTGTATTCGCCACTTGTTAAAAAAAATATGTACACAGCACAACGGTACACTTTCAACCAGTGATGTTCACTATGAGTCAACACATGTTTGTTAAAAGTTTACAGGTCTGTTGAAAACGTACAACTAATTTAATTTACGCCATGTATGTATAAATGCTGGTTTCACCGAGACTCGCAACCCTTTGAAGTCGGGAAAGATTGGTACTAGTCAGGAATAGGACTTCAGGGAGACTCTACTCAATCAGCGGTTAACGACAATGATGACGCAAAGGAAATACTAAAGCAGCAGTCGAACACAAACTTAAAAGTTGGGAGACTTTTGTGCATAACGAATGCGATGAAACGAATGCAATACAAGAAGTGTTGAGATTCGCATAGTAGATGTGAACGACCGATGGTGCGAATAAAAAATAAAAGTATAGAAATCAATGTGAATCACCATGAATCTGTTAAACACCTAGCTGTAACTATTTGGAAAAGGTAAATAAAAACCAGGGCATGGAATAAAACGGTGGCATTTACCTTTAATTTTGTCGGATCGCCGCTCTTTTTCTAGGGGAATGACATCATCAGGAGAGGATGGGCGACCAGAGGACGGCGTTGAACTAAAAGCAGACTTCAAAATTGAATTCATGCATGGTGTTGCCAAACACATTGATTATAAAGAAGGAAAAGCATATTCACATTTCAAGCACGCGAAAAGATAATATTCCGAGTAGGTTCACATCTTCTTGCGAAATAGATCATAAAGAGATTATTAGAGTAAAGAAAAATTAATGAAACAACCCATTCACGGAACAAGCCATTGGAGTGCAAACAATAAGGTATGGGCCACCGTGAATATGAAAATGCACTATGAACACGCAATATGAAAAAAGGGTGGGAGAGGCGTTTTGCCCAGTGGTCGGAGACGCCCTGCAATACACAAGGGATCGATCCTCGCTCCCCTAGCCAAGCCCTGCATCCATCCGGGGCTGGAAAATTGGTACCAGACTTGTCTGTAAGGAAAGCAGCACTGGGTCGATACATCGGTAAGCCACCGGAGTCATAGTAAAGGTTACATATGCATTCAATCACCCCCAACGATGCTTAATAAAATCGAATCGATGACGCATCTCTCCGGGATATACGAACGCTGAGAGCTTCATCTTTTTAGTTTTTGAAGAAAAAGTAGGCTGCGATGTTGAAACAAAAACAACGAAGCAAATGAACCCAGTCTTATACCTGTCATCATCCACTTCCTCCTCATCAGCTGCCGCGCTACAATACATATTCTTCCCCTGGTTCTTACAATTGTTTTCAGCCCAGTGCTGACGACGGCGATGAATGCTATGAAATTGATAGAACCACAACACAATCATGACAAGTCAACCATCATTGTTACACACCCAGCCTGGTCAGTACAAAACGGTCCGCCGTGGGATTTTTTCGCATGACACCATGAACAAGTGAAATGTTTGAGAGTCGCATTGGAACATGCTTCGCAAGACTGGAACTGTATGCATGCTGGAAATATATGAAAACAAAATTTAAGGCAAAGATGACGAATAATACATATTTATTGATTTTTGTTCATACTTTATGTACACATAGTCATCGAAGTATCAGTGGCGTCCTCTTAAATTTTTTTTCCATTACTCGAAAACATCGGACAGTTCTTACCTGGCTGTGCCTCAAGGTAAACAACTGTGTCAGGCACAACTTTATCGAGTGGAATTTCAATTCGATGATACTCGTAAATCACTCGTTTAGGACTCACTGAAATAGTAGTAATCAAGATCGACCATATTTTTTGTGGCATCTTAAGTCCAACACACCATTGGAAGGACGAAAAAACCTCTTAAAATAAGAGAAGATGGTAAAACAACGCACTAGCACCGTGAGTCATGAGCATATGATGATAAAGATAAGCGTCACTGATTCCACATTTGACGGGATGCTGTTCATCACTGATATTTGAAACGTTCATCGGTACCTGCACAGTTCCAGAATTAAAAAAAGCAAATAAATGATCTATTAGTCAGTAATTTTGCAACACTACGACCCAAAACGTCACGTAGGCCTTTGACTCCCTTTCTGAATACCTTAGTATAGATAAAATTCCTCCCATATTGCACTTCGCCAATATGTTATGAACGCTGCCAAACGTGAAATTTTACAAAACTCTATCGAATCATCATCTCCGGGCAGGGCCCCCAAGCTGAGGAGTCCGGCGTTTTTATCAGGAAGCCTAGCTAAAAGTAAACCAATACCGGGATCCACCACCGTTCGGATATCAAAGTAGAACGGTGGGAAATCTCCTTTTGATCCATAAGGGTGGCAACTGCCTGTGGTGGCGACGACCTGAGGCAGATTTCGGTCGGGCTGACATCGAAACTCTAAGTAACCACAATGGCAAAATCAGCAAAACTCCCATAAATGGAGAATATGCCCTGGTCCACACAACCAGTGGCGATGTGCCATCCAAGTATGCAAGTATTTTACCAGAATATACCTCTTAGAAGGGCGCGTGTGGCGCAATGGTTTGAGGCGCCACTGCGACGCACACGTAGAAACGATCCCGGCGCACATTGCCCACCAAACTTCCATCCATCCGCGGTCGGCAAATTGGTACCAAACTTGTCTGGGAGGATAGCAGCACTGGCTCGAAAGATCGGTAGGCCACCACGAGTCATTGTAAAGGCTAGATATCATTCAATCACCTCTAACGAAACTTAATGAAGTCGAACGCATGGTACGTCCTTCAGAGATTGATCAACGCCGAGGGCTTTATCCTTCTATCCTTTATATCTTTTAGAAATCTCATTGGGGAATCGATATCCGGTTAGGCGCGAAAGCATATAAAACTAAGTGATAGGGCCACCATTCACGCCTTATGGAAGGTACATATACGTCTTTTACGTAAGTCTATGCTTACATCTATGAATGCTAGAGTGAGTGTTCTTCTGTACAGGCCGAGTATATTCCGTATATCGATTAAACGAGAAAGCTGCAGTGGGAAGTGTAAAGTGTAAGTGGCTTGCAACCATAAAAAATAAGCTCCAAATCAATTCAGGAAAACCTCCGCCTAGTTTCTTGTAGACATTTCTGGTCGGCAACATCAAAAATGAACGAGCGCATTCCAAATGAGCACAAAACAAAGAGAAAGTGTTTATAGAAACTCAGAAGATCAAGTAATTGTCCAGCAGTCATCAAGCAGTCATTAAATTGTCGGAGATGGGATATTTCCCTTTAAAACGGTTTATGACATCACAAAGAAATTGACCATTAGGTCAAGTGTTAACAAAGCAGTTGTAGAGTTGGTTACTTTTTGCACACGAGTATGGAATTGGACATCGATTCCTCTCAAAAAAAAAGACCTACTACCAAAAATTAGCATAATGAATAACATCATAAGGAGCCACGAACACTGTCTAACCGATACCGTCGTTCTTAGCTTTACGTAAGAGTTGACAATCGTCTTGTGCAAGATTTGCTTTTTCTAAAGTTTAAAATTAGAGGAAGATATCTCAAAACCATCGCAAACTGTATTTTCTTTTATTGGTTGACTGGCAATGGGGAAGTTCTCCTATTGAAAACCACCAACAAAGAATATGACCGGCTCAACGAACGTTTCCACGATGAAGTTACATAAGCAGAGAATTGCAAAGCCATAAAGACACGCCCCTCATTAGAAATTCCCCACCTGACAATGAAACATAAGCCTTCACAAACCACAGGCAATCATAGACTTGCATTCACACCTGCAAAGCTTTGCAGAACGACGGTGAAAAGAAGTCTTAAGGAGAAAAGAACAGTACCATCAGTAAAGATGTAGAATTTGGAAATGGCACTTTCAACAGCTGAGGGGAGTTTATCATACAGAAAACCGAGATGATCGCATTCAACAGCCAGATGAAGCCCATTGTTTCCAAAAATATAATATGGAAGATCGTTCAGCAGTTGCATCCACTCCTCTACTTATCAAGTTAGGGAGCTCGCCACGCTCTTGATATACAAAGATAATTTACAACCTATCCAGTAATGTCAAAACCAAAACGAATTCATCATTCCGTCTACATGGAAACATGAAATCCAAAAAGACGAGACCGTCTCTCCAACCTATCCAACAACGCTTTTAAAAACTTCATGATGGAAAAAAAACCGACTATATTTCATTTCAATTGATGACATCACTTTTAAACACCAATCAGTGGCCATGCGAAGAAAACACTGGTCGACTTTTACCTCTAAAAAGATGGGTCTTCAGTTGAACACAAAGGAAATTCGTCTTTAAAAAACATTCGTTCCTGACATCGCCGAAGTTCAAATGAGCGAGTACCTCCAAACTCCCAAGTTATAGGCATCCGAGTTGTAAACTGAACATAATAAAAAAATACCGGCAAAGTTCAGCACAAGGAAGCAAACAGATTAGGCAACTTATGCAAGCGTTAAGAGGTAGTGAAAACGAGAAAAATCAAACGGCTCCGTGTCCACTTTCGAACTTCACAATTCTTCCTACCTTAACATAAAGGATTGGAGGAATCAGCAAAAAGCAGATCTGGCCGGCAGCATTCGACAGCAGGCAAAAGAGAAAAAATCTAAGGTGTCGACTATGACAGCGATCAAAGAGATGCGCAGTTATTTACTGGGGAATATAATCGAAAAAAAAAACTTGGTAAAGTTGATATTTTCAACACAAGTTGAAAGAGATACAAGACTTTTAAAGTCGTAAAGTTTATAGTCGACTGGACCAATTTTGACATAAATAGGTTTGGCAAAATATATAAGAACCGTCTTAACGGAAAAAGTATAGGCATTTTAAAAATCATGAACATTGCAAATTTACCTCCTTGTAAACAAAAGCGATGGAACCGTTCTTGAAAAGCGATGCTTGGAAGGTAAATGCACCTGCTAGAAAGAGTTACCGGTTAAAAATGAAGAGTATCTCACTGAGAAATGTTAATTCAACTAAATAATAATTACATATAAATTTGCCCAAATTAGCACACCTTGGTGTTGTTCCCTTAACTGAACTTTTCTCCACTCCACCACAAATCTCTCACCGTCATCAGCGTAAAGTATACTGGAGCCCTAAAAGAATAGCATGACAAATGGCAATGTACGACTTCAAAAAGGTAAAATCACAAATGTTAATGGAACTCGCATCTAGCATGGTGTCAAAATTTGCCATAAGAGGAGCTATGTACTGCGTAGCAGCCAACCAATTGTGTGTTTGGTCGCCAATGTAGAGAAAACCTTTAAAACTGTTTAAGGTATTAGGATAAAAGGTGATGAGCATGAAGTGGCCGATGAAGATAAAGTAGTACCTCCTGTAGCTATAGTAAGATTTGTCATCATATGACCATAAAATGGAAACTTAAAGCTGAGCTTGGCACCCTTAAACAAGAATCAAATCACACGATAATCTTCAAAATGTCATAAATCAAAACTTACGACAGCCCTCCTATAAGTGCCAGTTAACAGAGGGTGACTTGCGTTCCCGGCTATTCCTGGTTTCTTGAGCATAGCATCAATATCCACCCAGTACGCGTTCATTTGTTCAACACGATTAGCATAAATTGTCATAATATAGTAATGATGATCTATCTGAAATTGTTCAGAGTAGAGTGCCGTGAATGTGTCATGTGCAGGCCAACACATCTCTGCGTTATAGATAAGTGCACTATAGTCCAACTATAAATTCTTAACAGTTCCAACGCCATTGTTCATGCTATTAAAGAAGTGATGAGGGAACCATGTATTTCACTTCAATTGCTGATATAAGACGCTCTTCACAAGCGTATTTACAAAATAATAATCCTATAATACCATAATGATGATGAGATATTTGGAAACCTCAGGACCACTGGTGTCTCCGATGACGATCAACCCTCCATCATGGTGTGATGGTGAATATGTTAGCCACCGGAAAGGATAATGGCGGAGGTTCGATGTCCACCGTAGATACCAGCGGTCCGGAGTTCTGCAAATATCTCAGCATCATTGTGGTTGTGTTTCGCATAATACCCTGCCGTGAAAAAACAACGGGCACTTGATGAAAAAGTCCTCTAGTATAAGTTGCTTCTGAAATCCAAAACAAGGCTAGAAAAAGAAAGAAAACACTCACGGTGTTATTCTCTTTCTCAACATCGACATCACCTGGAATATGTGTGTCCCACATATCAGGCTCCTCTTGTTCTACAGCTGCTTTCGCTTCAGGTAAACCATATGTACCACGACGAACACGACCCTTTGGTAGCAAGCGGAACATCGGCGACGCGTCTTCATATCGAAGAATCAGAGGCAGATTATTTTCTTCTGAACTTATGGAATTCTTTAACAAGATATCCACCATTATAAGCTGCCCTTTGTTCCAAATCTGTTTAAAAAGCGAAAAATCTTATGACCTATAAAACCAGCTTGCCGCTAAGTAAAAAAGAAAGAACAAGTGGCAACAAGTAAATGAACTAAATCCCGAAACAAGTTATTGAAAAGAAAACCCACCAGTTAAGGATTCGATGCGAATATCGTCATAGAAGATTAATAAAAATAATAACGAAATACAACGTGGCATCGAGAAATTGGTTACTGGTCGGTAAGTAGCTAGTAGTAATGAAGGAACACGAGTTAAACTGAGAAGTAAAGAAAGAATCTCTGGAATGATTAAATAAATCAAACCTCCAAAAACTTTCTGACAAGAAGTTCTACAGGAAACTGCAAGAAGAACAGGTATTATCGGTGGACTGACTTCACTCGCTCGGAGATCATAAAGAACACCGCATCATACCATATTTAGTGAAACCGGTTACATTCAAGTAGTAACATGGCATTAAAAAAATCTGCATCTACCGTAAAAGAAGCGAAAGGAATGTGGCCTAGAATAAGACGGATCAAATGGTCCACATGATGTTCATACCCACAACAAGATTATGCAAATGAGGGTATGACATATACAGGAAGAGCAAGTAAGGTACATTATGAAAAATTTCCAAAAACCCTACTACATAACAAATTTGATGACCTGAAAATAAGAAATGGTAGATGGTACATTAGTAAGGGGTCGTAAATCAAGCATAAAACACTGTCAATCGTGTGGTTTCTTAAAAATAACACGATCGACCTTAACTTGATCCTCAATCAATCGATACATATACGTTACCACACTGTCACATTGGACATCCAGCAGAGCGAACGAGGCGATTATGGGACTGAAAAGAGAAAATGCTTTAAAAAAAGCAATCATTCAACCATATTCAAAAGGGATGCGAACTATTAAGAATACGTGGTTTAGTAGAGAAGTTATCAGGTTTGAGGAAAACTCCATTCCATATGAAACATGAACTTGTTTCTTCTATACTGCAGCGTTTCATAGTATGCTCACACTATCGATCGAGTAAGCATAAAAGAAACGAAGAAGACCAGGCAAAACGACAGGAACCAAAAAAGGTTATGGTGAAAAGCTGGCTCGAAATGGACCTGTTATAAGAGAAAAAAGACTGGGCGTACGAAGTGAACCTCGCCTGCGTTAGAAACCATAGAAGACAAATCTATCAAGTAAAATACCAAGGAGATCCCTACCAGGAATGGCACGAAACCGTGCAACCGGGGGTTCATGAAACAAGAAGTAACTGTGAAATGAGAACGGCTTTTCCAATCAGCTAGTACCCATACGTTGAATTCTCTACTACAGCTACAACTGTCACCAACTCATTTTCGAATTTACAAGTAAGACAAGAGGTCTAACCATGGAATAAAATCAGATACGGGAAAAATTACTAAATAATAACACGGACACAACAGGATGAATGCTTTGGTGCATTACCGAGGATAACTAGACGCAATCACAGAATTCACCAACTGATGGCTACAATACACATACTGTACAAACTGAGAAAATGGATAAGTGGTCCGCGAAAATATACTGAATGTCATGAGTATTTTCTAAGAGATAGGAAGCTGCGAACCTTCGCAGAACGTATATATATATATATATATAGAGGCGCGTGAAGCGCAGAGGCCTAATGTGCCCTGCAATAAACAGGATCGATTCCCACGCCTCACCAAGCTCTCCATCCATCCAGAGTCGGCAAATTGGTATCAGACCTTTTTAGGAGGATAGCAGCACTGATTGGATACATCGGCAGACCATCGAAAGTCATTGTATAGGCCAGATATGCATTCAATCACTTCCAACAAAACTTAATGAAGTCGAATGCATGGCGCATCCATCAGGGACTGATCAACGCCGAGAGCTTTTATTTATACTATCATATATGTTGCCCCATTCACGCTCAACGGAACGAATATCTCCGATTGCTGCAGTTATGTCTATCTAAGTCGCGAAATCAACATGTTGAGCGACTTAGCTCCAGAGTTGAGCAGAATGAAACGAGCGGCTTGGGGAGCTTTCAAGAGCATTAAGGATGTAGTGAAGAGGACAAAGGACACCGAACGCCGTGCCCTTTTCGACTTGACGGTACTTCCTGCCCTAACGTATGCGTCAGAAACCTGGTCGATGAGTAAGCAGAATGGATAATCACTCAGTATTAATGAACGTTCAGTCGAAAGGACGATGCTGGGAGTATCCCGTCTCACATAAGTAAGGATAGGATCCGAAACTCCGACCTGCGTCAACGATCAGAAATCAAAGATGCCGTTTTGTACGACAAACAGTCGAAGATAAGGTGGACCGGATACGTAATGCGTATGAATGACAACCGATGGACAAGAGCCGTTAGTGACTGGATTCCTAGGAGTGTCAAACGTACCGCAGGAGGACCACCGATTCGATGGTCAGAGTTCTTCACAAAGAGCCTTAAAGAAAGATATGATGCTCGACGAGTTCCTAGAGCGAGCAGAACCCACTGGGCTACTCTTGCACGCGACAGGGAAAAATGGAAGATTTACTGGCGCCCGCTCGAGTCACTCGACGATCAACGGGACTACAGTATTACGGTACAGTACAGTATGATATTATGTCCATTCTTATAATTAAATCCACCAAAACCCAATGGTTTGTTGCTTCAGCATCGGTAATGAGGGTTTCTAGATGTCGAAATGTAATATACAATGTAAGTTGTCAACCGCAGGCTCTTCTAGGAAGGAGCACAAAATTTCTATTGAAAATTACTATGAAGCTGAAGTAGGAATATATTTGTGGTGGGAACAACTAGCGTACATGAATAAAGTACTCAAGTATTCACAATGGTATGGATCTTATCCCAATTCACAAGGCTAGGTACTGCTACCGGTAAAGATTTGAGAAAGTATTGATGGCAAGAGTAGAGTAGGAGATAACTATTTATCCAGCAAAGAACGACGTAATTAGAAAGAAAACGGTACTGGGACTCATACGATTTATACTGACAAGCCTTATTACTTACTTGGATAGTTGGACGGCCCAGTTATCACTAGTTGTGCAGGCCTCAGCATATTCTCCATTCGTCAGAGTTTTCCTAGCTTAGCCATTATGTTTCCCAGGAGTCCCGCGGTCGGCCTAGCAGTCAGGTCACCCCACAGGCAGTCGCCGCCCTTGTGGACCAGACAGAGATTTACCACCATGCGACTAGTTTGATACCAGGACGGTGGTGAATCCCGGTATTGGTTTGCTCTTAGCTGGGCTTCCTGGTAGAAGCGCCGCACTCCTTCTCAACTTGAAGGACCCTGCTAGGGGACGAATCTCCTTGCTGTACATCGTAGCTCGACACCCCAAGGCCACACCCAGGAACACCTCTCAGCCTCGATGAGGCGGTAAACCTTTAGAAAGAGATTTGAAATAATGGTTCAAAAATTCCCCTCATAATTCTGTAGTGATGCCATCCAGTTATAATCCATAGCAACATGTAGTATAAAACGGATTCTGCGAATTCTCAATAGTTCAACTACTGACGAAAGAGAATGTTCAGATAGGACAAAGTTCTTACATAGTTCACCGACCCATTTTTCATATGTAAAGTGCATTTATTCTATCAATAGATACCCTTTACATATAACTGAGAAAGCGCCAGTAGCACTGCCTGGATTGACGTAGAATCGTCCGTCTTTTTCCTTAACACTGCACTCATGAGAGTGTCCACTAACGAGTACATCCACGTCGAGTTGTCGTGCCATTTGCTCCAACATCTTTAAAGAAAAACATTTCCGAATATCATGTAAGAAACTTAAATAAGATCTAGATGATTTAGGTAATACACAAAGAAGACTATTAAACGATGAAATCAAGAACGTTACTCGCTTTGTATAATCATTACTTCACACCGAGGGTGTGTAGTTCAAAGACATACCGCCTCATCTCCCCAAGGAATAATCTGATGGCCATGTATAAGTCCAATACGAAACTGTCCTATGGTGACGACTTTTGTCTCCGGATATTTTAACGACTGCTCATCGAAATCCCCGCGAACAACATGCACATCGGATGCTAATGTCCTGGTAATGAATCTGACATCTACGAGATCTCATATAGGTAGTATTAACCAAAATGCTACCTTAGATAGTCGACACTTTCGCGATTGCACAGATTTCCGGTACAAAGAACATGCTGTATCTTATTTGGAACTAGAAGCTTTCGAAACTTAGCCGAAAGGTTGTGTTCACGATGAGGAATATGCAGATCGCCAATTAGCAGTACTAACTAAATCTCACCAAACAATTAGATCTAGTTGCATGCACTTGTACTGATCATAATTTAACCCTGGACTCACCATGTCGATGGACTTGAGAAATGACAGCCGCTTCGAACCACTTCTCCACCTTTTAGACCGAGAAAGGAAAAAACCTTAAACTAGAGAATACAAAAAACAAATCTGTCGCAATATAAAGAACAAAATTCAAGATTAAATGGTACAGATATGATTTAATTGAAAAAGATGACATCATCGTACTAAAATTCGAGAACTGTACAAAACAATTCATTTACGGAAGAAAAACGGAAAACTTCCAACCAACTTCCAACAGAAGAAACAATAACATATGGACACGTCAAAACACCGAAAGTACGTAAAAAACATCCTCTGTGAAAAAAAAGCTCAGAAAAGGAAATAAGGAGAGATATCTGCGAGATCTCCAGTAATCAGAGATCAGAAAGGTCAGACGACACACTAGTTCATGGCACATCAGAATTTACAGATAGTATGGATTCCAAATTTGAAAAAAAAAAGAGAAAAGAACGTATATTTAGTAAACCATCTTGAATCCGTTCCTTTCAAGACCCATTATGTGCAACCATTTGGTCATAGCATGTGGACACCTAAATTAAATTTCTGAGAAGCAGAACAGAAAACAAAAAAAATTGTCAAACCCTATAGTTTCACGGCAATGGACACTTGGGTTGGCAGCGAGCATTCTTACTGCTACAGTAGCTCTAATAATACATTCAAACTGGAGATTAATCTCTTTGAAGATAGACCCACGAGCCCAGTAAACCTAGAACAACGTCTAGAACACCACAGCTTATTAAACAAGAAAAACAGGAAGTAGAATGCTAAGTGAAGCAAGCTTCAAAACTGAAGTATCATGAAGCAAAGCAAAGCAGACCTTTCCATTTGCGTCGATTTCGTGTAAAAACCCATTTGAGAACAGATTTCTGTGGTCGGCGGATGACATACTAGACGGGTCCACCAATTCCAACACAGCGTTGTTGGGTAGGAGAGATCTGGAACAAAAGCAAAGCATAAATAGATGAGCTTCAAATATTGGACATTATAAAGTAGAAAAACCAAAAAGAATAGTCTGAAGTTCATTACTTTACGTTTATCAACATAAACGCAAAGAGCTATTCGTAATTCACTCCCAGCGGTTTGCCGCCTCATCGTGGCTGGATGGTGTTCTTGGGCGTCGGACTGCGATGAACAGCGGGGGGATTCATTACCCTGTCAGGGTTATCCAAGATGAAAAGGAGTCCCGCGACTCCATCAGGTAGCCTAGCTAAGACCACGGGTGGATTCATCCCACTAGCAGAGTCTCCCAAGCTGAGGAGTCCGTCGTTCCCCACCAAGAAGGCCAGCATAGAGTAAACCAATGCTAGGATCCACCACCGTTTTGGCATCCAACTAGTCGCGCGGTGGCAAATTTCCCTCTGATCGCCAATGGCGGTGGCTGCATGGGGTGCTGACGCCCTAAGGCAGGTTTTGGCCTGGTTGAGCTCGGCACTCTAGGGAACCACAATGGCTAGACCAAGTAAAAAAAAACCGAAAAAATGGAAATCATGCTGAAGCCCGCACGAACAGTGAGGATGGGCGGACCAAGTATCGATGGCCGAAACGTCAGCCATCGATCAATAACATCAAAAACAACGACAACGACAACGAAGATCTGTACCAACCTCGCGTCAGCTTAAGAAGATCAGTTTATAAGATCACGTAAATAAATATACAAGTGAAATATTCTTGTAAACGTAGTTCCATGACTGAGTGAGTCATCTGGTTCACGAAGCATAGGTGCACCAAGCTCATTACCCTCTTGAGGATATACAAAAATACTAAACTCCTATAAATTCAAGCTTTTTTTTTTTGAAATTTCCAAAATTCATTGGAGCTTTTCTCTTACATCAAACTAGTGGATCAAGAACGAAAAAAAAAGCACAGCAAAAAAACTCTGTTGATAACTCAGAGGAAATGTACTTGATAGAGACTATCATAGTGATCTCGACAATGATTACACTTGTGATACTGAACAGTACCCTCCCAATAGTGTCTAATAACGTGTTTAGAAAAACTATGTGCTGTGGAATTATAAAAAACCTAGAAAATACGAATAACCACGAAGTAGAAAAAAAGTCGCATTTCTCACCAAGGGTGCCCTCACAATTCTAAGGGTTCGTCCTCCTCCATATTAACAACGGTTGGTGCTGGGATCGACGTTCTCCACGATTCGAGAAGCGTTCTCAACATAGTCTCCGTACACTTCCGCACACTATCAGCTCGATCGACATTCTTTCTACCTCACTGTTTTTCTGAACACTGCGTTTTCATAGTCAACAAAACTTACTAACTAACTAATTAATAACTTAACCACTTGGATATTTACTTGATCGGCCCGTTACCACTGGTTGTGCACGCCTCAGCATATTCTCCATTTTTCAGAGTTTTGCTGACTTAGCCATTGTGGTTCCCTGGAATCTCTAGATCAGTCTAGCCAGTGTGCCTAATTCGTCACCACCACAGACTGTCGCCACTTTTGTGGAACACAGAGAAATTTGCCACCATACGACTAGTTTGATACCAGAACGGTGGTGGATCCTCGTTTTATTTTACTTATAGCTGGGTTTTCTGATGGAAACGCCGGACTCCTCAGCTTGGGAGACCCAGCCGGGGCTATGAATGCACAACGCAACCTGACACTCCCAGAAACACCTCCCAGCCACGATAAGGGTAAACGGTTGGGAGAACTAACTTAACTAACTAGTACTAGTTACTAAATACTAGCCTACCACTAACTTTAACTTAAAGTGCATCAAAAGCAAAATGATTAACGGTATAATTTTAAGTTATTGAGCACTGCCTACTCTTTTTCTACTGGTAGGATATATTGCGAAATATAACTTCAATGATGCTGAGACATTTGCAAAACTCCGGATCGCAGGTGTACGCGGTGGGGAACCAACGCGGTATTGTCTTTTCCGGGGAGTAACGCGTTCACCACACCATGCGGGTCCTTCGTTTCGCCTGTCTCTCAGCTAATTCTATCTATTCTTTATTTATATGATTTTATAAACTGATCTTCTTAAGCTGACGCGAGGTTGGTACAGGTCTTCGTTGTCGTTGTCGTTGTTGTTGATGTTGTTCGTCGATGGCTGACGTTTCGTCGACTTCGCCTTCCTCAGAGGGGCTGCCACATGTAACAACACGGCTCTGAGGAAGGCGAAGTCGACGAAACGTCAGCCATCGACGAACAACATCAACAACAACGACAACGACAACGAAGACCTGTACCAACCTCGCGTCAGCTTAAGATCAGTTTATAAGATCATATGAATAAATGTACCAACTATCTATGCCGAGGTTTATAGAAAGTCGGTCTTTCGAGTCTATCAATTCCATTTGTGCTCCCCAGATCAATCCCGCTGATGGGTGATTGCTGATGGCAAAAGATTGATAGAACTAGCTGAGAGACAGGCAAGACGAAGGCCCCGCACGGTGTGGTGGTGAACGCGTTACTCCCCGGAAAGGACAATAGCGCGTTCCTTCCCCACCGCGTACACCTGCGGTCAGGAGTTCTGCAAATATCTCAGCATCATTGAAATTAACGGTATAGTTCAAGACTAATGAAAATAATATACCTGGAACATGCTTTCTCTACCACCCAAATAGGCCGATAAGGCCAAGTCATCAGTGCACAACTCCCGGCCAATTTTTCTCTCGATGACTATTTGACATGCCATATAGCACTCAAAACATGTCTTACTTTTGCAGCACAACGGTAACTGAACGGAATTAGAAGCATTATTGAGAACGCGTAAGAATGCGGGACCGTACTGGTTTGAAGAGTTAGTAATATAACCATATTGGCGCTGAGATATTTGCAAAACTCCGGACCGGAGGTGTCTGAGGTGGGGAACGAACGCACTATTAGCCTTTCCGACGGCTTACGCGTTCACCACCACACCATGCGGATCCTTCGTCTCGCCTGTCTCTCAGCTTTGGAAAAAATTAAACAATGTATTACTCTAGTCAAAAAATTTGCCGTACTTACTATCGGTGATGGCAAAGCTCCATCTAAAATTAGATTCAGCACTTCTCTCGAAACATACATCGCTACATCCGGCTGAATGAAATTCAGAAAATGCCCTGATATCCCGGCTAATTCAGCGAGGGGAAAACAATAAAAACATGAACAAAGGAAGAAAACTGAAGAAAAAAAGTAAGAAAAGAACCTATCCACCTTAGCTCGAGGCGCTGACCGCTTCCCCAGGAACGATCTAAGCTGTATCTTCTTCAGAAGCATAACAATTCCTACATCCAACGGCATTTTTCGAATCAAATGACAAATGAAAAATAGGTGTTTCTGAAGCACAACAGACAAGCATTCAATAAAAACAAACAAATTTATGCATATATCGCAATCACACAAAGCAGGACAAAAAACCATTGCGAAACTAATCACAGCGACCACGAATGTTATTTTGTTTGAGATTTTGAATGCGAAGAAAGAGGAAGAGCAAAACCAGCAGGCCCTCCTCTTTGTTCCAGAATTCCACTAAGAGTCTTAGGGAATATAGAAATTGTCAAAAAACGCTCGCCCATGTCACCCATCAAGAAGTTGTAAGACTCTGTAAAACGTTTCTGAAACCTTCCAATAGAAAAACATCGACATTTCTTCAATATAAAAGTCGTAAAGAACACATACTACCCAGGTAATTCCTTCAAGACGGTCTAGGACTCAACGTTCTGAAAATGTAAAAGGAAAAGTCTAATGTTAATTATACCTGTGACTTACTTATTAGTGATTCCTGTTTTTCTCGATCATTACATGACTTTAATAACCTCCTCAGACGTAGCTCAACACCCATTTGACCAAGGAACTCACTATAAGAATGCGTTTGCTTACATGATATGCTCACAACAAAGAAAGAATCATCGGAGAACTCTTCTTATTAATTCAGCTGGCTATCGAAGTGCTCATATAGCACCTCCAAATACGGTCACGAGAAGACCTGCACAAGAATTAGAGCTATGTGAAACACAGAGACCATTTTACATGATAGAAAAGATACCGCTGAGTGTTCGGACCATATACCGCCGCTCTATCGGCGACTAGAGATTTCAGGTAACCGAAATTCACATCAGCTGTCAAGTCAATGGCACCAGGTTGGCTCAAAGGATGGACCTGCAGAGAAAATACCCATATTTTAAAACTTTTATTTCGTTGACTTATTACCTGTTCATGCTTTTTGTAGCCTCTAAAAGACAAGTCATTGCGGGAACCATCGTGGCCGTAATCAAAGATAATTCCGAAACCACCATTATATATAATTCTAGAAAGCTTGGACTTCATAATACGACTATATGAAACGACAATTGTAGAAGAGCACACACGATCCCCACCTCTCCGTAGTCTGGTTGATAAACGTGCCAGCTTCAGGACTGCATTCCCAATGGATTCGCTGACCATCGTGTCGGATATTGTCTGGTATTAGTCCACTAAACAATTGAATAATAACAACGTAGTCAAAATTTTCTGTCACTGCTTATTCCCCTTTCATGGCACGGTTTGCTATCAGCAACCACTCAACAGGATCGATCTGGGAAGCACAAATTGACACTGAATACTCAATTTATCTAAAGGAAGAGTTAGTTCACCACAGAAAAACCTACCGTGTGTGCAGGTTTTCGCCCTTCGATCTCATGAAGCACAATTCATTAGCTTTGTCAATATTAACATATATCTGGCAGAAAATTAGATTAGACGTAGCAAGTCATCTATATGTAACGACAGTTACAATGGTAGAAACAACAGAAATTGATATGGACATCGGGATGGATAGCTGCGAAAGAAAAATCAATTAGTAACCTCATTCCACGTCCCATTAGAATCTCGGCTGAACTGATGAACTGGCAACGAGTCAAGGAATTCGTTACTGACGAAGACGGAAAACTGTATGGGAATAGTTTCAGGGCTACTGTTTCCAAATGGATGGTGGTAAGGGAGAAAACGTTAAGGATTACTTGGTCTGGTATGTCGTCGATCGTTTTATACCAATATATAGGTACACCCGATTTTGACACACTCTTCTTCACGTATGAAGTGGAGTCTAAAAAAGGAGTTCCCTAAAGAATCTGTGAGATTTTACTAAGACTTAGTAGCGTACCATTACTTTTCTGCGATTCCGAAGAAGGTAAAGAGCCACAGGGACCACAAAGTAGCCGTTCCTGTTGTTCAATGAGGGCATCTGAACACTCCACCAAATGCACTGAGACATTCTTCTCCTTGAAAAAAGGAATTCGCAACAAAGCTATAAGGTACATAAAACATTTTTTGATGCGGAGAAACAACCAGACCTGAAAATTGACCAGTGCTCTAAGAATGTCTCTCATAAGTTGTCCAGTACCCGGTCCACATTCAACAAGTTGCCAAGGTCCTAAATCGTTTCATGTGGATATAAAACAGAAACTGCAATCACAACGATGCTGAGATGTTTGCAAAACTCAGGATTGCAGGTGCCTACGGAGAGGATTTAACCTCGTTATAACCCTTTCCAGGGGCTAACGCGTTCACCACCACACCATGCGAACCCTTCGTTTCGCCTGTCTCTCAAAAGAACTAAAATAACTAGAACAAACACGAATAATTTAGAGTCGAATGACACAGGATAAATGAAAACAGAATACCATGATAGCCCGTGTTTGCCAACTCGTAGTAGCACCAAACACCCACGAGTTCGCCAAAAAGTTGAGTAAGTTCTGGAGCAGTGACGAAGTCTCCTTCTTCTCCAAAAACCTAAGAAAGGAGAAATAGAATAACCTTAGACACTACGGAAAAAAATAAAGTCTTAAACTGAAAAGTTTTAAAGAATTAAGTCTTAGAGCTAAGTGAGTGAAATTTACCTTTCGTGATTCAGAAAAACCGCCATAATAGCCAATCGTAGGCGCACTAACTGCCGTTTTCATGTACTCGGCCACCGTTATTGGACCGGTTGCTCGAATTTTATCGATGATAAATCGTTTTAAAGCATAACTGGGATCCTGAAACATCAATGGATATCCAGATGAAAGCTAGACTCTTCGAAGTACTCACCTTCTTCCGATCCAAATCAGCTGTACCTAAACAGGCTGACAAGTGTCTTAAAAGCAGTCGAAACGGTGGATTACCTCCGAGTATCCGATGGATAGCAGGATACATGCGAGTTGCCGGATGTATTTGAAATAAAATCCGTTATCTCTCATGAGTTGTTGGTCTGAGATTACGACCACTACTCTCGTTTTTACGTCATTCTAGTTCGTGTCACGACATTCATTCTTTTTTTCCTTTTTTTTTTCTCTTTTTATCCACAGTAATGAACTAGTGTGCTGGAATGGTCTAGATGACTGAGAAATGTAGGGTTTTATTCTTCATCGATGATTGGAGACGAGCAATGTAACGAAAATCCTGTATTTCAGAAGTATATTTGAAAACAGTGGCAGATCGGACTTCTAGGACTTTACTATGATGTAGATGTGTAGGGAAACGGCGGTAACGGAGAAAGATGTTTGGTAGAGGTTTTACTTGCTAGAGTAGAGGGAATTTTAAGGAAATAATTGGTCCGAATTGAGTAGCCTTATGTCTTTTTATGTAGATTGAAATTTACTTAAGGATTACTACTTTTACCTTTACTTACCACTTTATTTCTCCTTCCTTCTTAAATTTTCTTTTCCTATGTATAAGTTCCCTCTGTGGAATTGGCTTGGACATCGAGAATGTCGTCTGTTTGAAGCAACAAACTACTGGTTTTCATATTGTGGCCTAAAGCTTTATACGAGTTGATTTCTTCTCATGTATGGCCGAAAGCGTCTACTTCTGTCGCCTTTCATGCAGAGAGATCTTAACTGAGAATAACCTTTAATAGTTGAGTTAGAAACCTTCACATCTTACGGATAGTTGGCAACATGATACTTATTTACTTGGATACTTGGAGAGCTCGTCCTCAATGGTTGTGCGGGCTCCGCATAATCTCCATTTTTTCGGAGTTTTGCTGGTTTAGCCATTGTGGTACCCTAAAGTCCCGAGGTTAGCCAGGCCAAAGTCTGCCCCAGGTCGTCGCCGCTCTTGTACAACAAGATGCACATTCTTTATTTTTTCTGAAGTGAATTTTTGTCCCCCTAAGAGGGCAAAGAAAACCATTTTTGTTCAAAAATCGTTTTCTTTGCCCTCTTCATTGTTGGGACTCTATTTCCAATAGCGAAGTTGTTGAGGGTATCTTCCAGCATAACACAACGATATCACTCACTAGATGTTTTATTGATTCGCTGTATTCTTGATGAGCGAACACAAGTTGTTCTTTTATTCTTTGTTTACGAAAATAAGATTATGGTTTCTCTGATCCATAAGGGCGACGACTGCCTGCGGTGGTGACGACCGGGTGGCAAACTTTGGCCTGGCTGACCTCGGGACTTCAAACCTCAAGGAACCACATTCGCTAAACCAGCAAACCTCCGAAACAATAGAAATTATGCTGGGGTCAGCACAACCAGTGAAGACGGGCCATCCAAGTACCAAAATACCAAATAGAAAGTCGATTTGGGGAATTTCTGTGGGATATTTTGTTGAAGTCTGCTGCTGGCGTGCTTACGTCGGGAACGTTGAAGATTTAAAATTAAAATTATACCTTGAAAGTAATTACGTACATAGTCTTAAAAGTAGGTACGCCGACAAAACAAACTATCCTACGTAGGACTGTTAAGCTCAACTCCACAAGAGCTTTACATAAGGGTAGTATAATTTGTCGGATCTTGACGCGTGTAGCGCAGTAGTTATAGTTGCACCACAGTACACACGGAGGCCGTTGGTTCAAATCCATTTTCTGGACTCACCAAGCTTTCTATCTCTCTGGGATCTGCAAATCGGTGCCAGTCTGGGAAAATAGCAGCAGTGAGTTGATATATCGGTGCCACACGCAAGCCACTATGTAAGCCATGCATTGAGTCACCTCGGATGTTCAGTGGAGTCGAGCATATGGCACCATCACTCGGAGATTCATAGCGTCTAACGCTTTACGATTCTGTTTCTTTTCAACCGGCTTACTAGTTTTTCATGTCGTTACCTGCATATAGATGCACTTCCCTCCAATGGGCGCGTGTGGTCCAGTGGTTGGAGGCGCTCTGCAACACACACGTAGAATCGGCCCCAGCACGCATAACTCAGCAAACCTTTCATCTCCCGGGGTTGGCATATTGGTAGCAGATTTGTCTGGGAGGATAGCGGCACTGGTTGGACACATGGATAGGCCTCCGCGAGTCATTGTAAAGGCCAGATATGCATTCAGTCACATCCAAACAATGCTTAAGGAAGTTGAATGCATGGCGCATCCGTCAGGGATTGATCAAAACCAAGAGTTTTATCCTTTATTCTTATATATATATATATATTTCTTTCTTTGCTGTAAGTACTACATTTTAAAGCTTAGGATTCGTCGTCTGTTATCCTCTTTTATTACAGTTTTTCCGAATCCTTCAGATTGAAATGAAGCTTTTACCCTTTTTTCTAGTCTTCAAAAGTCATAATACTTGAATACGTCTTTTGTACAAGTGAAAAGTGACGATAGTTTCGTAGTGGATGTCTGAAACCTTTCCCAGTGGTATTAAAGGACTTATTGCCATCGAAAACCTGAAGACATTGAAGAAATACTACGGCAAACTGTTCAGCAGGAGGGAACTTGAGAGTATATAATGGAAGTATTTCTGATTGTCCAAGATTGTTCAGAGAAGTTATAAAGCTGAGTACATAGATTCCACGAATATCACATTAGTTCATGTCAGAAGGGTACTGAATTTAGAAATTTGCGCTTGAAACTAAAATGGATCGATTAAACTAGTAAACGACAAAAATGGGGAAATTCTGAGCATCACAATGTTTCTAAAAACTTATTGAACAATATATCAGTTTTTGTGATATAAACGTGGTTATAGGACGCGTGTAGTGCAGTGGTTGGAGGCGCCACTGCGACACAAACGTCGAATCGATCCCTGCGCCCACGGCCCACCAAGCCTTCCATTCCTCCGGGGTCGGCAAATTAGCGCTAGACTTGTCTGGGAGGATAACAGCACTGGCTCGATACATCGGTAGGCCACTACGAGTCATCGTAAAGGCCAGATATGGATTCAGTCACTTCCAACGATACTTAGTGAAGTCGAATGCATGGTGCATCACTCCGGGGTTGATCAACGCCGAAAGCTTTATCCTTTTTATCCTTTAAATGTGGTTATCGATTTCTTTATCTTTACGCTTCTGAATTTACTGAAATACAATTTGGTTTTGAAATCTGAACTAATGTGGATTGAATGAGTTGTCGTCTTTCTCTATAGGTTCTAATCGCTTTCCGAGGATAGTAACGTAAAGTTTTCTTATATTCTTATTGAATTTATTGAATTTAGGATGTCACAGATATTTGTACAGAAGTACATTTTTGGGTATCTAAATATGTATTCGGACTTACTGGGAATGAATACCTAGAGCTCTACAGAAGAACCAGTGATTCACATTCTGGGTTATCCCAGATAGCACCGTGAGAGGTAACTAGTCGGCTGCAATCCATGGAGTAAAAGGCGTATGTGTACATTTCAAATATTTAATACTTGATACTTGAGCGGCTCGTCCTCACTGCTTGTGCGAGCTCCAGCATAATTACCATTTTTCGGAGATTTGCTAGTTAAGCCATAGTGGTTCCCTGGAATCCCGAGGACAGCCTGGCCACAGTCTGTCCCAGGTCTTCACCACCATAGGCAACCGCAGCCCTTGTGGATCAAAGGGAGATTTGCCACCATGCGACTTCGATAGGTATTGGATCCTTGTATTGGTTTATTCTTAGCTAGGTTTCCTGATGGAAACGCCGGACTCTTCAGCTTGGGAGACACTGCCGGAGTACGAATCCTCCTGCTGTACTTCACAGTCCGACACCCAGGAACGCCTTGTAGCCACGATGAGGCGGTAAACCATTGAAAGGGTTCACTTCAAATAGCAGATTTAAACGGACAATTTTGGAAACAAGGCAGTAAACCTCTTATAAAAGTGTGACTTGGAAGTTCTTAGTATGATCCAATACTTCAGTGCAGGTCTTTGAGCTGTTTGAATAAGTCTAGCAAATGCATAGGTGGCAAAACTGGACACTCTTTGGCTTCCACATTGGACGACATTCCTAAGTACTGGCACAAATCTTGCTTTGAAATTTTCTAGTGAGTTTGTATCTCTGGTAGATTGCTGGTCCTTGGTGTATTTTTAAGACCCCAGTGATGTCTCATGTATCGTGTAAAGGGCAAAGCTTATTTGTAGATTGAAAAATCATACCATTCATATTTCTCATGAAGCTTCTTAAAAAGGTTGGTACGGAGAGCTTTTGAGCAACAACTGAACTTTGTAAGGTCTTTCGTGCTTGATTTCTAGTCACCTGAACATATATTTTGATGATAAAGGTAAAATTGCCGTTTAGGAAAGAGAAAGAAGCTGGTGAGGAAGAAGACGAAGAAATGCACTTCATCAGATCTGATTTAATTTATGCTTACTTTAAGATTATTCTACTATGGACTTTTCCTTAAATAATATTTATTCAAATCCTCAACTGTACAGATGTACTTATTTTCCATAGGTTCAATTTGGTCTCCTTGTCGAATACAGTGGCTTTATGGTGGTCCGCAGTACGGTGGTGCGCCAAGTAACACGCAGAGGACCTCAACTTGAGCCGAAATCGGCCTCACAAGCACCCATACTCAAAGAGGAATAGGGTCATAATGCTTTTTTGTTTGTTTGTTTGTTTGTTTGTTTGTTTGTTTGTTTTTTGTTTGTGTTTTTGTTTGAATTTGACAAGTGATGGTTTTGTGGTTTTACTCCCAAATCTCTAGCTATTTCCGCAATTACTTTTCTATTCCGATTAGTTTGGTTTTCATCACTGGAATCAAATAATAGCATTGTGATGGTTTGGGTTCCCCTTCAGAAACAATTCTTAGTCTATTCAGGAGAATCGGGCAAACTATTCTTAAGGACAACTAACACTTCAGCAGAACTCGATGAGCTGCCGTTATTGCCATCTTGGCAAAATGAAATTAAATCACCCATGTACAGAAGAAATAAAGATCTTCGTGTAATTTGAATGAGTTGAAGTCATTGAATAACCTTGTTTCGTAATGATGTTAAGTGAAATGCTATGGCACCAGCTTAAATCGAGTAAATGGCCCTGCTTTAAATAAATCAAGAAAGTAAAAAAAACCTTTGTATGGAAAATGCTTCCTTTTCAGCTCTCTGTTGCTGTTATAAAAAGGGAAGAAAGTGCTTGGTTTCCATATATCCCTTAGGGATGCAGAATCCAATTAAGATGGAGGAGTCCATGTTTTCCTGGAACAGTGACTTGAGATGGCCGGCTGATTTGTCAAGTCAAAGTTTTTTTATTCCTCATAACTCTGGCACTAATTTGCCGAGTCTGGAGGGATGGAAGGCATGCTTTGGGGATAGAACCAATGACCATGCCTTTATTAAACTATATTCCTAAACGAAGCGCTACATACAGCCTTTTGTATTGTTATTAATTTCAATAAGTGCTCTAAGCGAATTAAGATCAAAGTAGAGTCATCGTGGTTTTTTCCATCCTTGGATTCACTTCATATTTCGTTAGAGTTCTACGCGTTTGTGTTCTCGATTGTAAACTTTCTTGTCATTTTGAAAAAAAGACTGTTTTTAGGTCTACTTTCACTATGGATAAGCAGAAGCCTAAGTTTTACTTAGCGCCAATGGTACGGTATTCGAAGTAGGTGAAGTTCTTGTGGGATATTTATCGAAATTCTTATTTTCGTATAGTCGTGATAAAAAAGTAAAACGAAAAGAAAAAAATTGTGGGTTCAACGAAGAAGGTCGAAGAAAAGAAAGATATGGAAACACTGAATGCAAAAGTCTGGAACTAATGAGATTTCGCATCAATCCATGTTTATTAACAAGCGAGCTGAGTAATGGCATCACCACAAAACGACCTATGCCTTTTGTTCCGGTGTGTTAACTGGGTTCTTTGCCGGTTTGAACTCCCTAAATCAATCCGTTGACGGGTGATCGCTGATGGCGCCGATCGATAGAACTAGCTGAGAGACAGGCGAAGCGAAGGATCCGCAAAGTGTAGTGGGGAAAGCGTAAGCCCTCGGAAAGGACGATAGCGCGTTCGTTCCCCACCGCATACACCTGTGGTCCGGAGTTTTGCAAATACCTCAGCATCATTGTGATTGGGTTCGTTATTTTTTCTTGAAATGCACTCAAGTACTTACAATTTAGTAAAAGAACTTCTATATAATGCTGAGATATTTGTAAAACTCCGGACCGCAGGCGTATGCGGTGGGGAACGAACGCGCGCTATTGTCCTTACCGGGGAGTAGCGCACTTCACCACCACACCATCCAGGTCTTTCGTTTTGCCTGTCTCTCAACTAGTTCTATCGATCTTTTGCCATCAGCAATCATCCTTCAACGGGATTGATTTGGGGAGCCCAAATCGATTAGCTAGATCTGGAGACTAGCTGAGAGACCGGCAAAACGAAGGGCCCGGATGGTGTGGTGATGAAGTGCGCTACTCCCCGGTAAGGACAATAGCGTGTTCGTTCTCCACCGCATATACCTGCGGTCCGGAGTTTTGCAAATATCTCAGCATTATAAAGGAGTTATATTTCGCAACATACCCTGCCATTAGAAAGAAAAGGCAGTAAATAAAAGGCTTAAGATTAAAACAACTTCGGTTTTGATCTTTGCCTTTGAGCAAGTGAAATGGAGTAAAATGCTGTCTTACAAAATTTGTTGAGTTGAAATTTAAGCTTATTGTGATTATTTCCAAAGAAATAAATCAGTTTAGTGACATTTTTTGTTATCTACTTTTTATCTTCCTGTGGTCTTTAGGTTAGCTTTTCGACAACTTGTCCGGCTCTACGATGTCGATTGTTGCTATACACCAATGATCTATGCGAAAAGTTTTCTTGAATCAGAGTACTGTAGATCTAGCGAGTTTTCGACTATTCCAGGTGAATAATTTTTTCCGTGGGAAAAAAGCGTCAAAATCAAGGAATTCTTGACGTTAGGCCGTTCTTATTTTGAGAGAAAAGGTAGTGAAGAAAGTCAATTTTAAGAAGAAAGTATAGTTTATTTAGACGAGAAAGAAATGAAATAAAATTATATGAGCTATAACTCGTATGGAATGCTGAGATATTTGCAAAACTCCGGACCACAGGTGTATGCAGTGGGGAACGAACACACGCTGTTGTCCTTACCGGGGAGCAGCGTGTGTTCGTTCCCCACTGCATACACCTGTGGTCCGGAGTTTTGCAAATATCTCAGCATTTCATACGAGTTATATTTCACAACATACCCTGCCATTAAGAAGGAAAAGGCAGTAAATAAAAGAGTTAAGTATATGAGCTATATCAAAATCAAGCAAATAGTAATCCGAAAGAACATCATCTTAAAGAAAACCAGACAGCGTTCATCCATCACTTAGATGGCGATCTGCTGCCTCAGAAACAGAAAAACTCCGCGATCTCACGACACCGTTTTCAAAAATACTAGACGTATTAGGGTGAGCTTACTGATCAAAAAGGTTCGAATGTTTGTATATTGACGAATAAGACAACTTTGAGAAGTGTTCCATGACAATGTCTTCCAAAAACACTTGTAGTAATTCTGTCAATTTTTGGAGTAATCCTGTGATTACCGATTCTGTCATAAGAGAATGATTTAGTTAGCGTAGGCGGGTGGGTAATAGTAGTGATGTAATGGGCGGCCATTATTTTCGCACCAAACGCATTGAAATGAATTCCTTGTCGTTATGAACACTTCAAATGGCATATGGCACAGGGCTTGATATCTTCATCAAGCTGGACAACATAGTCAAACGAGTTGCTGTCTTTTAAAAGGTCAAATTCTTTGAAAACTAAATTTGGAAAGTTTCATTTATTACGGATTTTAGAAGATCGGCCGTTGATTGTTCAGTTCGCCTCGGATGATCCATTCATTTTTGCATCGGCTGCTGAATTAGTCTATAAGTGAGAGCGTCATGAAATTGTTTATCATTAATTTTGAAGAACTACGCCGTTTATCATGTTTAAATTACTAGGTATTCGTCAGGAGTCGACCTTAATTGTGGGTGTCCAAAAGGCCAGGTTCGTTCTAAAGGATTTGGAAGTATTCTTCTGGATCGGCCGGATCATCTCGCAGATATAGTTAGGCAATGTAGAGCTAAAATCTCCGATCCAGAATTCACTGTAAGTGAATTCACCTCCTAAATTCAACGCTTTCAGTTACTCCGTTAGAACTGCATATTATTGCAGATTTCTTTGAAGATACGACTTCAATATCCTTTAGATAGAACGGTGGACTTGTGCCAGAAGGTAGTGATGTCTTCGTAATACCTTTTGTGAATCTAATCATACTGTAGAAGTTGCATATCATATTTGGAACTTGAGGGAGCAATCTAATGTCGCTAGTCGAGAGATCAATTTGGTGATAACTGAACGCTTATACTTTTTTATGCGGAAAAAGCTGGAGTGTCGCATTTGACAGTGCACGGCCGGACTCCACAAATGCGAAGCGAGCCTGTGGACTATGATGCAATTCGTGTTATAAAGGTGAGTCTAAGAACCACCATTGGGTTTTAACATTGCATTGCGAAGAGGAATAGAAGAACCGCAATTAAATAGAAGTAAAGAGGACAAGTAGTTAATTAAGGAATGTTTTATATACATGTTCGTCCCTACTAGTAAATTCAACCTCGAAATGGTCTACCACCTCATCCTGGGTGGGAGGAGTTCGTGGGTTTTGGACAGCAATGTACATCGAGAGGTTTGTTACCCTTGCAGGGTCTTGCAGGTTGAGAAGTAGTCTGACGTTTCCATCCAGAAGCCCGCCTTAGACTGAAGCAATCCCATGAATCAACCTTGTCCTCGTACCAAAATAGTCGCAAGTTGGTCAATCTCCCTCTGATCCACAAATACCGGCGATTACCTGTGGTGACGACTTCAGGAAGGCTTGGGTTAGGTTGACCTCGAGATTCCAGAGAGCCATGCTAGCTCAGTCAGCAAAACTCCAACTTTATTACCCTGCACACAGAGCGCTTCTGTCTACGACGTCGAGCTGTGAGACAACCGCTGACTGACGACCAAATCTCGGGTTACGAAGGACGTCACTGGAAACGGACAAAGCGAGCATACCCGCGATGCGCCATAGACACTACTTCTTATTCTGCACCAATAACACCCAGGTCATCTCCTAAGATGTCGATCCTCGTGTTTTTCTCGAGGTTACTGATTGCATCAAATTCCATGTAATCTTGCTACAAGAGATAAAAGTTGAAAGACCGACATACGGCAATTAGGTGAGGAGGTCCTTGCCATCTATCCGTAGAGCATGTTCACGTTACTAAATGTGGGAGGCGTTAGCTTTGTTGTACACCCAGCTATTTCCCATCTAGTCACTTCATACGATTTTGCATCACCGCCCATAGCTATTCTTCGTCTCCATCTTGCGCGACAGAAGAAAGTCATTATCATCAATTGTTACTCATCACAACTGATGAGACCAAATCGGGCGCGTTTTACAATCACTTGGACGAAGTAATCCACAAGGAGAACTATAAATTCTTTGTTTCAACGCCAGATTAGGAAAGGCCAACGGAAATGAATGCAAAATAGAAAAATTCGGAATAGGAGGTTGAAATAAAAATGGAAACTGTCTTTTGCGATCCCGTCCGCAGCACGTCTCTTCCATGGAAATTCATTTTTCGGAAAGTTGCCGATGGGTATGAGAGTCTCCTAACGGTATGGCTCACACTGAGGTCGATCATGTTCCCACGAACAGAAAATAGTGCATGTTTGACACCTCATTGGCACTTGGACTCCGTACAGGATCAGCTCCGCATTTATCCTTGTGAAGATTCGATTCGATTGTAAGCTGTGAGAGAACTGTCATCGTCCAAGAAGAACGAAGCCAGTCGTCTTTCACGAAGGTGTTCTCAATCACTACCTCGTATAAATGCTAGTTAAAGGAGCACCCGACAGTAGGCAACAAGCTACTTGTAGAAAGACTTAAAACTTGTGCCACATTCTCCTCAGTTCCTAAATCAAGAAGTTCAGATTGTATCTCCATTACCACTAGGCAGTCAGTTGCTCAAAAAGGGAAGAAAAGTTGAAGTTTGACTCTACTGCAACAACAGCTGACACTGCTGATAATAAATGCCAGTTGTATAAGTTCTTTCCGAGAGGATCTACATAGGTATAGGCAGAGCAGTTGTTGGAAGCTGCTCAACGACGATCTAGTTTGAAGAAGTACTGTCGCGATCTATACGATTATAATGTTCCGCTATCCACCCTGGTCAACGAAGATATAGGGCTGTCACTACATCTCACAGTTATATGAAACTGATAACGAAATGGTTCTGTACCAATCTTTTCCGCTCTACAATCCCCGTCTCGGGCGCCGAAATACCCACTGGTGAAAAATTAGCCGGTATTCTACCCTCTTAAGTTTGAATTTCGATAGAAAACATGAAGTGAGGCACAGCTTCAACACCTGATAATATCACCGCTTATTTCTTTCGAACTAGGTGTTGCAAATTACACGCGCTTCTCGCAACCCACAGGCCGTCTTACCTTTAGAAAATCGCGGACTTGTGGAAGACGTCACCCTATCTTACCTAAAAAGTACAACTGAAGGTATCCCCATTAGTACCATCTTATGTTAGGCACGCGTAGCGCAGTGGTCCGAGGCGCCCTGCAATACACATGGGATCGATCCTCGTTCCCCAGCCTCACTAAGTCCTCTATCCCTTCGGGTTCGACATATTGGTACCAGATTTGTCTGAGGTCTCTGATTGTAAAGGCCAAATGTCCATTCGTTCACTTCCAACGATGCTTAGTGAAGTCGAATACATGGCGTATCCCTCTCGGATTGATCAACGTCGAGAGCTTTTTAGCTTTATGGTTATTGAGTACACTCTGGAAGATGTTCACGAAGATTATCTTATTGCGCGTACCAAGGACTTTGCATGAGGCGCACTCGGTTGAACAGGCAAGATTACGACAGCGATTTTGGTGCGTGGACCACATCCAATTGGTGGGCAGGATCATCGAAATCCGTTGTGAAATCCTAACATTTATCGACTACGAGAAAGCGCTTGACATCGTCGAAACGAATGCAATATTACAAGCGCTCGTCGACCAAGGAAAGATTCCTTTCTACTTAAGAACTCTGGCTCGTTGTTATCGGACGTACCATACAAAAACAAAGCTTTTCTATCGATCCCTTAGCATACCCATAGCAAAATAGGTTCTACAAGGCGACACAACATCGCCAAAGCTGTGTACTGCCACACTACTGTGGATAGAAAAATCACTCGAATGGGACGAGATGCGCACACGTAATTGGTAAAAAATTCCTACTAAATTTTCGTTTCGCTGGCGACGTGTTCTTTTCAAAACTCGGCGCTCTCCTCCTCAACCCAACCGTCCTCTCAGCACTGTGTTATGTAGAAGAGTCATGGGCCGATACTTAATCCGTATCAAAAACTCTGCGCAGCACCCAGAAAGCGCTTTAACGATGTTTTTTGAAATTTAATTAGGACGCACAACGTCTAACCGGAGCACGTTCAGATCTTCAAAACCTATCTCATCTTTGGGATCCAGGAGAGCATACATAGATAGCGAACCATAGATGTACTACTATCTATAACTTAAGTGCTCACGTAGAAGTTGAATATGTCTACTCGTGGCAAGTTTGTCGGGTTCTACTATTGTTGACGTGGAGCTTATTAGTTGGAAGTGACTTCGAGTTGTTTCCTACGTTGTTCGGTGATAGGATTTTGGCTTATTTGAATCCCAGATTAAACTTGCATGTTTTTTAGATCACCTATAAGTTGATCAATGAAGCATAGTATGAGAAAACAACTGAAGTAATAACTGCCACGACCGACTTTCTATTAACCTCGGCATTGTTCAAGTAATTTTCTTCGTATTTTTGTTGAGCAAACGCGAGATGTTATTATTCTTTGTTCACGATTAAACTGACGTTTCAGCGGATTTCGCCTTCCTCAGAGCCTGGAAAGGTCAAGTTGATAGCAATCTGCTCGGCCAGACGCCTCCATAACCAAACAAAGAAACTCTAAACCAAGATTTCAATCACTTTGAACACAGCTTTGCACACTCACCGCTTCCTATGAGGTTTCCACTAAGTATGTCACGTAGAGACCAACCGCACAGAAATCACATGGAAGTATAATGTGACCCTCACATCAGAAAAGCACTTTTATATACTGCCCTATATCACGCATGATAATGAGGCATTCTTCCCTGCGGTTCATTTTCGGATTTCTGGAATTAATCCAGAGTGCCTCGAGAGTTTTTCGCGCCTGTGTTCCTGATTCGCGTGCGAGGATCGTGACACATACTTCGAAGTCGTCCCCGTTATGTCTCTGGGTCCTATGCGTGCCTAGCGGAGTATTTGGTCTATTTTTGCCGGCTAGGTGTTCTTTCATGCGGACACAGAGGGGTCTACCCGTTTCGCCAATGTATTCGTCACCACACGTCTTACAGGAGATCAGATAAACTATACCCGAGCTCATGCAATCACCGTC